ATTGCTAAACATGTTTTGAAAAACAAGCATTGGCTAACAACTTTGTAGATTTCGGTACATTGAACAAAACAGCAGTCAAAGATAAGTTGTTGATAAAGTTGTTTCCTTGTGCTTATTTTAATAAATACTGAATATTTGAATTAATTCTGTTTGAACATAAATTTTAATGATTTCTGTATTCGCTGTAGTCGGGAGGCTGCCTTTCGTATAAGGTATAAGGTATATAGCTTCGATTCCCAAATTAAAAAAAAACGTACGGGGATCGATAGAGAACATTGAGGTGAGTATAACAGTATATTTCTTTTCTTGCGGAAACAAAAACTACAAAAGTTATTAAGGGTCAAAGTTCAAAATTAACTATTTTTTAAATAAAAACTTCTTAAAAAGTAATATATGGATTTTAAAAGTTTTGACCTCAATCGATAGGAAATTTAGTTCCCTTTAATTTGATATACATACTTTATATATGCCTTGTTTAGTTTTCACAAAAATCTAATTAATGTACGCAGAATGGAATTCCGCTTCCCTTCTGCGTCAACACAGAAAGGAAAATTCTACTTAGGGAGGATTATATTTATATCAAATTAAAGGGAATCAAATTTCGTATCAAATGAGATCAAAATTTTTAAAATCCATGCATTCGTTTTCAAAAAATTTGGATTTAAAAAATTGTTTAATTTGAACTTTGAGTCTTAATAACTATATGTAGTCGTTATTTCCGCAAGAAAAGAAATATACCGTTATACTCACCTTAGTGATCTCTATCGATCCCCATATGTGTTTTTTAATTTGAGAATCGAAGCTATCCTGCATTTTTTCCAAAATTTTAATTCATTGTCGCGCCAAAATGTCATAGAGCACAGACGTCAAATCGAAATGTCACGCAACACAAATCTTGGAATTTGAGTTAGCTTTTTACGCACGCCGGTCAATTTCGGTTGGTCCCATACAAGATGTATATGCATGAGAAATTTTTGACAGTAAACTGCCGGCGTGCGTGAATATTAGGTTGGCCTGTAAGGCCCAATTTCAGATGGCCTATTTAAGTAGAGATTGTTGATTAACTTCCAATACTCATTTTCAGATCATACATTTAATCTGCACTTAAATGGCCAATATTGGCTATTTAAATATGAGATATGCAACCCTGTGTTTGTACCACACAACCAAGATTGATTGGTAGGTTGTTTAATCAATCCCACCAAATCCCACCAAAAAACAATCAGCTGTTCAGCACAAAATGTAAACAAAAAAGCGCATGCAACAACAATTTCAAGGAACAAGCAGCAGTGCTGCCAATTGTTTGGCATATTAAAACAAAGTGGATGTGAAACCCAACGTAAGTTAAATGGCATTTAAACAACAATCCACAATTAAACTTAAATGCCATTTAAATATTAATTTGAAATTGGCCCTAAGTAATTCACTAAGTAATTCGTGAATTACCCTGTTTCCATGCCACACATTAACAATTCGTTTGGCAGCTCTAGTTCTTGTTCTTGTTCTGCGGCATTTATTATTATTTTTGTGTACTGCAAATATCGAAGATGGAGCTTACATTTAAGTTATCATCTACAATTTTAATTTATATAGCGAATATTTTATTAATATTACTCTATAACTATAAAAAGTGCCAGCAATTGGGACCAGCTGGTGAAAACTTCGATATATTTCCGATAAATATTATAGAAGGTACCGATTCATTCGTCATTCGTATGGTAATTCGATCTAAATTACCTAATTCGGAAGGTAATTGGCAAGGCGAATGACGAATGGGAGAGCGAATTACGAAACGTGGAAATGCCGTATAAAGCGATAACTTTCGGTATTTCATCAAATAACTTAAAACGTAATGCTAACTATTATATCATGAGAAAACTAAAGGTGGTTACTCTGGCAATAAGAAATACATTTTGAACTATGCTTTGCTGGCAACCTTCTCACTTTTTAAAAAAAAAGAGATTTAGGCTACTCTGGCTCTCATGGCCTCATATGTATATCGATTAATTTAGTAAAAACGAGTATGTGCAAGACAAAAGCAAATGAAAACATTAAATTTTTACATAGGTGAGTAAATATACATAATTAAATGAAACATTTATTAAAGGTAATTTTTAGCAGAGATTTATCTAAGTTGCACAATTATACACATAGTAAATCACACTTTAATTTATCGGGATAGTTGCAAAGCAATAAGAATTCTATCGATAAATTAAACAAAAGCGTAATCGTTACTTGTTGGTATCTAGTTTTGACACAGCTGATTAAAATAAATTGCGCAGAGTGGTGGTGAAAACTTTAATCGTCGTAACAAAATTTAAGTTAAATTATTAAAAACAAAAACATCAAATAAAACAAAAAGTAAGCAGCAAACAATATGAATAAGGTAAGTAAACGCCACCTTAGAAGATTAATTAGTAATGAAAGAGCAAAAAACCGGGAGAAATTGAGGTTAGGTACAACTACGGCATGTGCGGCTGCGGAAGTTGCTAGAATTGCCGAAATTGAAGAAATGCCTCCGGATGAGCCAAGTTGCTCAACGGAATTACCTTTCCAAGAAAAACTCAAAATGTGGGCAATTCGTAATCAAATATCTCGGAAATCCTTTTCCGAACTCTTGGCGCTCCTTGCAAAAGAAGGTATGAATGTACCCAAAAGTGCCGAATCTCTTTTAAGACATAAATCTCTAGCTATAGTAGAAAATATGAGCCCGGGACTCTTCTGCAATATCGGCATTAAAACGCAATTAGAAAAAATTGCTGACCAATTAACTAATCACAGCACAATAGTAGTAGATGTTAATATTGATGGGTTGCCATTATATCGTAGCTCAAGGATGCAGCTGTGGCCAATTTTATTACGTATTGTAAATGTGCCAAATACATCGGTTTTCGCTGCTGGTATTTATGTAGGACAATCCAAGCCAGATTCTATAACAAAATTTTTAAGCGAATTTATTGAAGAAGTCGCAGAACTTCAAGCTTGTGGTTTCGAATGCAATGGTCGCTGCATTACGTTTCAGGTTAGGGCTTTTATTTGTGATGCGCCGGCGAAATCTTTTCTCTGCGGAATACCTGGGCACACTTCTCGACATGGTTGTTCCAAATGTAATCAAGTGGGCAAAAAAATTGAAGGCGTACTAACCTATAGTACCAACGTCGGAACGCTTATTTCCAACTCTGATTTTTTGGAACGCAAATACCCGTATAAACATATATCCGCTTTCAAGACCAATTTATCTCCTCTAGAGAAGATTAATGTTAATATGATTACGCAAGTTCCTTTTGATGTCATGCACTTAATTGATTTAGGTGTCATGCGCAAGTTTCTTGTACGAGTTATAAACAATAAATCGAACCATAAGTTGAAAAAAGGAGGCGAAGGTTAATATTTCTTCAAAACTAGTAGCTTTATCTTCACACATCACCAAAGAGTTTGTACGAAAACCAAGACATTTGGATGAAATAGCAAATTGGAAAGCTACCGAATTCCGCATGTTCCTTTTCTATTATGGAATTTATGTCTTAAAAGATGAACTTCCCGATGATGTTTATTACGAATTCCTCCTTCTACATTGTGCTTGCCGGTTATTGTTCTGCCCTAAAAATTATAGTGCTAATATTGATACAGCGGAAAATATATTAAAATTATTTGTTCAAAATTTTGCTCTTGTTTTTGGAGAAAATAGCGTTTCGTACAACGTACATGGTTTACTACATGTGTCAGAAGATGTTAAAGAACTAGGTGTACCGTCAAATTACTCCGCATATTCGTTTGAAAATTATCTACAAGTTCTGAAATCGTACGTAAAAAAACCAACACAAATATTACAACAAATTTCAAATATGCTCAAACACGAAAAAATTGTCACTGAGCCAAAATTTGCTGGATTTAAAATGAAAAATAATTGCATAAAAAGTTTTTATTCTAACGAATACATGTTATCCACAGCATGTCCAAATAACTATTGTTCTGTGAAACCATTTCAGTATATTGAAATACAGGAATTCGAAGATAAAAATAAAAAAGTTATAAAAGGCAAGAAATTGTTGAATTTGGAAAGCTTTTTCGCAGAACCCATTGATTCTTGCACATTGGGAATATGTACTGCAGACCTCACTCCCTCGTCTATTGTAGAGGAATTTTCTCTGGAGGATATAGAATACAAATTGATGTGCATTCCTTTAGGAGAGAAAATTCTTCTCATTCCAATTTTGCATACTTGCATGTAGCTATTTTTTATTAACTTAACTTTTCAATACTTTTATTATTACTTTTTTAACTATACTTTTATTACTTTTTGTTAAAATACGAGAACAATAATAAATTTATTTTTATTTTCGAGCACTTTCTAAAAAAATTCGGAGCGCAAAACCGCAGCACCTCGATGGCGGCGACCCCAGCAAAAAAGGCAAAATGTAAGTATAGATTATTTATTAATTATATTAGTACATAAGCTTAAAATCAATTTTAGATGCGAACAAGACTACTAACCCGGGGACAAGCTGTATAAGTCACGTCAATGAATGTATAATAGGTAATAAACTTCTGCAATGTGAAATTTGTGTTCGTTATACTTAACTTTCGTTATATTTTTAGAATCACGTAGAATCAGCGTTTCGACGTCGACCATTGGATATAACCTCGGTACATTATTTAATTATATACATACATACGTGACGTAAAACTTAAGCTACCAGCCTCTTGCCTCTTGGTAGTTTATTCTCTAATCAAAACCATATATTTAAACCGAAGTTTAAAACTTTATTAATATGTAGCACTGCTATTATTTTCGCTGCAGTTGTATATGAAAAACATATGTATGTACATACATATCGCCAACTGAATTGTAAAAGGTTTTGATTGACTATGATACATTTCATCGAATTACAAGTCCCCACATCGTTTTATCTAAAAGAACGTTTGTTAGTTATGGCTTTTTGCAGTTTAGGTGGCAATATATATGTATGTACATAGTTATCATTGGTTAGCCGATTGTAGTTACAGCGTTTTTAAATATATTACTTATAGAACCCACCGAAGGCGTTTTGGAAGTTGTGTGTTGCAGCCACTGCAATTTGTTTGAGAAGCAACTTGAAACAATTGATGGGAAGCTGGATCAGCTCCTTTTGACTGTCGAAAGGCAAAACACCGCGATTATGGATGCGATTGCAAGCCAGAAAGTGGTTACACAGCAATTGGTTCGCCAAGAGACGCAAAATGTACCTGTGGCAAAATACTTCCCTGTCTGCGATATAGCGGAAATGGAGGAGCTTGAGGCAAAAATTTCTTCTTTCTTATATGATCAGAACGTCGAGCTGAGTTGATTTATCCATGTCCGTCTGTCTGTCTGTCCGTCTGTTTGTATGCAATCTAGTCTCTCAGTTTTCGAGATATCCGGATCAAATTTGGTAGGTGGGTGTATTTTTATAATGTATTAATCATTTGTCGGAACCGGAAGAATCGGACCACTATAACATATAGCTCCCATACAACTGATTGTTCAGATATGAGATTTTTCGTTATAACTTCTCCATTTATGCAGCTACGAACATGAAATTTTGCAGCACTTGCACCCATTATCAACAGAATGCTTACAGTGAAAATAACAAGAATCGGGTGACTACAACATATATCTTCCATACATCTGATTGTTCAGATATGGGATTTTACTGTAAAACTCCTTTATTTGAACAGCTAAAACCGATAAATTTCGTAAGATATTTTATAAATAATAATACAAAGTCTACTGAGAAAATCGTCAAAATCTATGCTGTATAAGCTTTATCTCCTATAGCACTGATTGTTCAGATACCAGTTTTTGCGATATATCTCCTTTATGTAGGAAACTAAACCCAATAAATTGTGTTACCGGTTTACATACCGATCACATAGCAGTGAAAATCACTTAGATTGGTGCCATATAAAGTATATCTTCCATACCTCTGATTGTTTAGATGCGATTTTTTATATAAGTATGTAACTCCTCTATCGTTGTATGCAGATGTATGTATTTGGCCAATTTTATGCCCGATTTTTATTCAACTAACAGGATAAATATGTAACTTATGTTCATGTAAGTCAAGCCGGGTTTCATACGTTCAAATGTAAGTTGAATGGTTCGAATTGTTCTGAAAATCAGTTTACAACCTGGTACATTTTTCTAACTTTTCAAAAAGATTGAAATATTTTTCTTCATTTCCTGTAACCCTGTACATTGTGTATACATTTCCCATTAATATAAGGAAACATGCAATTAGGAACTTGCCAAACCTTGGAACCTCCTCACAAAATAAAATGTCATTTTGCTCTCTCAATTTTCCCTACTTTACAAGTTTCTTGGTTACATTAACACCAAAACGTGATAATTACTAGCAATTGTTTCAAACTATTTACTACTCGAACATCCTTATACGTTTTTAGGATGATGGCTAAAAAGTTCAGCGATGTGTGGCTCAACTTTTCGGAAGAAAAGGATCAAAAAGTAAAATGTCGAATCTGTGCGCAGCAACTTTCGGTTGCAAATAAATCAACATGTAGGCTTATAAGGCATATGAAGAGGAGGCATCCAACCCAAACAATTTCAAGGCAGCAGCCTGTTGACCCAGCTGAAGCTAATAATGATACGTCATTAATTTCAAGTTTGCCTTCCACGCGAAACTCTGACAATTTGTCAACCATAAAAATAACAAATTTTTTCACTAAACCACTTCCCTTAAAGAAGAAAGAGGAGATCGGTAGGCAGATCTTGAAAATGATTGTCAAAGAATACCATCCATTCACTATAGTAGAGGAAAAGGAATTTAAAACACTGGTTCATCTACTAAATGCCAACTACATGTTGCCGACAAGGAAAACAGTTTCTTCAACTTTATTAACAAATGCTTATAGTTCAGCAGTGGCTGTCGTAAAAGAACGCTTGACGAGAGCATTTGCTGTTTGCTTGACAGTTGATGGATGGACGTCGCGAGCCCAGGATAACTATTTTAGTGTAACCGCACATTACATTGTTGAGGGAGATAATTCAACATTTCTCGCATCAGATTTGCTAACTTGTGCATCGTACACAGAGCGACATACGGCTGTCAACCTAACGAAAATGCTGCAAGATGTGTTGAAGGAGTGGCAAATTGATAATAAAGTTGCGGTCATTGTTACAGACAACGCGGCCAACATGAAGGCGGCTGTACGTGGTATTGGATGGAGGCATTGGGGGTGTTTTGCCCATACACTCAATTTGGTTGCGCAATCGGGATTGAAAGAAGTAGGAGTTGTTTTAAAAAAGGTAAAACAAATTGTTAGGCTTTTTACTAAAAGTAACTATGCAAATGAGGAACTTAAACGAGCGTTGGAAGGGATGCAGATGCCGATTTTGAAAATAATAAATGACGTTCCAACTCGATGGAATTCTACATACGATATGCTTAAACGCTTTTTACTTTTAAAAACTCCATTGATCTCATCGTTAGCTCTGATAAAATCTTCTGCGCGGGTCGCAGACGAAGTATTAGCTAATGTCGAAATTTTAGAAAATTAGGAGTGGTTAATAATTGAGCAAACAATGCAAGTAATGGAAATGTTTCAAATAATTACAAATCTTATAAGTACTCAGAAGCATGTCAGTTCGTCTTCAATTATTTTGTATGTAAAGCAGCTAACGAAGCATTTAAATTCATTACAGAGCCGTGAATTAATTCCAATAGTGCACAAATTGGTGAACAATTTACTAGGTGGGCTTAGTGCCAGGTTCATCGACTTAGAAAACAACATTTTTATAGCGCAGGCAACAGTGTTAGACCCACGCTTTAAAAAATTTGGCTTCATAAACGAATCTAAGTATAAATCTGCTGTAGAAATGCTCTACAATAAAGTAGCAAATATAAGAATTTACACTGACGAAGATGTCATAGATGAACCAAGTGAGGCAACAGGTAGTGCGGGTAATGTCGAAAATGAAAACTTAGAAAAAGTTTGGAAAGACTTTGATGCTGAGGTTCAGCAATATTTACGACCTAACAACCAGGTGGCATCTGCAATAGTTGAATTAGACAAATATTTGGCTGAACCTATATTGCCACGTAAAGACAAAAATGGCAAATATCAATGTCCTTTGCTATGGTGGAATCAAAGGAAACATATATACCCCAGATTATATCAAATTGTAAAAACAAGATTGTGCGTTTCAGCTACATCTGTTCCATGTGAAAGAATTTTTTCACATGCGGGTCAGATAATAACTCAAAAACGAGAAAATATAAAATCGGCTAAATTAGCTAAAATGGTTTTTTTGAACTATAATATGGACAATAACGATTTCTAAGACTGATACTGATATACTCGATGTACCTTAAAAGAGATTTTAGAATAACTAAAACAAAATGTATTTACTTGTTTTCTAAATGCTTTATGCAAAAATATTTTTGTTATATTTTTACATTAAATATCTTATTAATTATACAATAAGTGATATATATTAAATATATATAAATACATGCACATAAACATATCGCACGTTTAATAATATACAGAAGTATTTCAAAATTTCAATTTTGTGGGAAAACACAATCAAAGTTTGATCAACTCATACAGTTGATATACAAAAAGACAGCTGAAAAGACCCATATCTTTGCGATGTTTGGGAAGTTTAACCATTTGTTGGGCTGAACAAGTTCTACATATCAAGCTTATTCATTGTATGATGAAATCTCCAAAACCGTAAATTTTGAGTTACATCTCTATATTATTAAACGTGCGATATATCGAAAACAATCCAAAATTTTGAATTTTGAAATTATGCGCTAAAAATGTACACAGAGCTTTTAATTACCTTAATGTTTAATGTATGCGCTGTAAGGCCAAAAGATATGTGTTTGTATGTGTAAGCTATAGCTAGCATAGATTTAAAAGCTGCTAAATCTACTTTTTATGAAAACTTACATTTGGATACAGTAAGGCCAAGTATTACTTGTTTGAAGTAATATTTTGTTTTGAAAACGCAAAACTTTTGTTATCAAAGTTTTGCAAAATATTTGAAGAAAATAAGTTGTAAGAAGTTTTGTTTTTCTCCGGAAAATTTAAAAAACAACTTTTCCACTCTCAGTGTCACAACTCAAAAATTACAAATATTGAGTTAAGTACACAGAAATAACCGATACTTCTACTTTGTGTAATAATTTCATAATGTATCGATTACCCATAGCCCACTAGAACAAAATATGTATTAATTTTTACTATGGGAGTAAATGTAAATTCATAACTTTAAAGCCGTTTTTACCGCGTTTGGTTTTTTTGATTTGTGGCACTATTGAAATAAATGAGCGATATGTAAAAATGTATTTTAAATTAGTGGAACGTTTTAAGCCATTAGAAACCAATTAAAAATCATACTGTTACTCTTTGATGCAACTGATATAAAAATATTACTTTTTGATAAAACCCTTCATACAAATGTTACTTTTTGGTTGGACTTCATTCTTTTTCATATACAACCTTAAATAGGTGCAAACTATGTATCTAGATTTACATACATAAGTATGCAGTGATAATAATACAGTACAAAAAGTAGTTGAATACAATTTTATACTAAGTTTTCTAATAAAATATCTGATGCAAAAACTCGTGTATACTTATAATTTGAAAAAATGTGGTTATGGGTGAGGGTTGTTTAATTACGGTTAAGTTATTATCGAAAATATCAAAAATTTATAGTTCCCCAGCTCAAGATTATTTTATGAAATCAAATACGTAAATAAATTCGTGAGAATGGGCTAACCAAAAGATCTTAACTAAATAATTTTAGTTCAAATACATACAACGTCACCAAGAGAAGTCACAGTTTGTAGCATGCGCTTTGCTTTTGCCTCATAAATCGGTTGCAGACATGTTCATAAAATCGTGCTAAATCAATAATCTTTTAGCGATGTTTTTTTTAATTTCTTGCACGCTCAATTGTTGCATGCATGAAATCTGCTTCCAAATGCCCGGACTCCCTCGATTGTCACAATATATGTAAGTGCAATTAACAACAAAGGGCATGGCCGCTGCAAAAATGTATTTCGGTTCTATAATTAATATACAAGGCCGAGTAAGCAATTTTATTTACAATCTGATTTAGTGGCATTTACAACTTATAAGCACAAGCAACTTATATTTAAAAGGATTTAAAATTTGGAGTACTTAGCACATTTGAATAAGCAGTACATTAGCTTATGGCGCTTTAGCAAAGTCTCCAGTTTTGGTAATAAGACAAAAGTCGACTAGGTGATCAGAAAAATTCAGTAGACAAGCTGTAAAGACAATAATAAAGTAGTAATAAAGAACATGTTAAACTATATAGGTAGTTTTATACCGCGATAATGTTGTCTTGGCCAGATGGTGCTCTTTTTGTTTACACAGTAGACACTGCCCCTTGTTTTGTATACCCGCAAAGGTTCTTCCGGTAACATGCACATACATATGTACGTCTCCAGCGTTTGTGGTTACATTAAATAAAGATGCCACGAATTTCGCTATCACGTAACCCTGCCAAAAGCCTTTAAATATGTACACATTGAAGCTGAGGAAACTACATTTGGCCACCAATCTTCCAGCAATACTAGGCACACTGATTGCTTTTTGCTTTTGATTGCAAATATGTGTTTCTTTGCGGGTACTTTACCTGTATTATAGAAATATATCCAGTATGTATATTTTGACAAAGTACACAAAATAATTAAAGAAAATAATCCTCAATTACCTCAAAATTTCACCAAACTCTGCCAATTATCGTTTTGTTTGGCAGCTTACTTTGACACATATGTACATATTTCTCATGTTTATGTTTTTTGGCAATTTTTTTGACATTTCAGCAATGTGGATTGGAAGCAGTGTTGCCGCGAATCGTTTTTTAGTGGTAGCCAAATCCCTTTAAAAAGGGCTAAAAAAGAGCTAAAAAAGTCGTTGTGGCTAAAAATGGTAGCTAAATTTTTTTACTTACATATACATATATAAGTATACACGTAAACATTTTCAATAAGTAAAAGCGAAGGTACACAACATGCGTTCGCCGGCAAATGCGTCACGCCGTCAATGTCAAATAAAATTGAACACGTGCGTTTGTATGACAGCTGTTACAGACGACGCCGTTACGAATGCGTTAACGCAGTTGCCGTCGTACGTAAACCAACTCGCTACTTTTCTGTTGCGTTCATGCGTTGACATTTGAAATTACATTTGTGGGTTTACAAAACAATGAACGGCACAACGCAAGGTGTGTAACAGCAAATTTTTCAACGTCGTCAACGCATCAACGGATCAACGCAACGCCGCAGCAAATAAAATGATGTACCTTCAGCTTAATGGTATACCTAAAACCTTTTTGTATAAAATAGGAATTATACGACACCTGCTTGCTGGCTCCATCAAGTGATTGTTATATCAGGCTCGAAGCATATAACTTACCAGCATGCTGGTACAATATTTATTTCTTTATTAATGAAGTCCACTAAAGATCGAAATGATTACAGCCGAAATTTCATAATTTTTCTACCATTTTGTTAAACATTGTTTTTTTTTTTAATTCACAACGGCAATATCGTGAACTTAATCTTCCACAAACACGGCTTTGACTCATTTAGTGAAGAAATTTCCGCCACAATACTTTTTACTTAGAAAATTGAGCTAATTGCACCACTCACGACACCAGCATGCTGGTACAATCATAAAATTTTCAAATAATTTTTGAAGTCGCACCAGCAGCTGGTACAATCACACCACAAGAACATGCACGGTCAATCGACTTGATGGGCCATTTAACAATAACTTAACTTAACTTATCTATTTTAAACTATAGTTAAAGCGTTAATAAATAAGTTAACAGCCCTAACACTTTTACAGTATGTATGTATAAAAACGTAAGGAACATACAATATATATATGTAAATATCAGTCTTCCTTAGTTTAAAAATTCATCTCTTACATAAATGAAAAAAAAAATTAGATCAAATTAAGCATGTACAACTTTTTCATGCCAAGTATGAATAAATTCTCCAAAGGGCTAAAAAAAGGGCTAGGGGCAATTTTAAATTTATGTGGCCAAAAAAAAGTATGTGGTAGCTAAATCTAGCCACCAAAGGGCTGAAACGGCAACACTGATTGGAAGTGTGTGGGTGAGAGAGCTGAAAACTTGCGATTGTGGGTGTTAAGGTTAGCGCCAAGGCGAACTCATTTAGCGCCGTCTTGAAGGGCATTTTTTGCGAATTTGCCTTGGTCTCGTGTGTTTCGTGGTGTTAATGGCGCTAACGCTGTTCATATTTTGGTGTTGGCGTTCAACTCCGACAACGGCGTTAACGCAATTGCGCCGCTCAGCGCAGAGTTACCCATGTCTACCACGATTGAGAGAATACAAAGGTTGCGCCGATCTCGGACCGCTATT